TTTAGATATTGTATGAATTGAATCGATTTTGGCATTGTTTGTTGGAGAGTGAAATTGTCCCCGCGGTTGCAAACGCGTAATTTCTTCAATCCTTAGTCGAAGAGGATAGATAGGGTGATTCATTCAGGATAACATTGTTGTGAATTGATATATGTTTTGCATTGCTTTAAGGCTTTAGTTCTTGTGTATTGTGTTATTCTAACCACTGGGAACTTATGTCTGGTTAATTCTCTTGTGTTTGGGCCATTTAATCCAATTTTGGAGAAATCTTTTTCTTTAAGCAAATCCTCTTGTTCATCAAGAGGCATACTTTGCTTGAGGGCAAGCAAGAATCTAGTTGGGGAGAGTTGTTAGATGCCCAATTTTGCTTATTCGAGCTATCGAATATGGGCATCTTTCACTTCTTTTTGTCGAGAAAGTTTTCAAAATCGCTCTTGCTTTGGTTGGTTTGCAACATTATGAGAAAGGATCTTGGCACCTTTAATTTGTGTGTTATTGTGCAGAAATTAGGCATGAAAGAGTAGGAAATTAAGACACAAGAAAGATGGCAAAGAAACCAAGAAAGCAAGCAAACAACAGCAAGTTCGCTAGGCGAACTGCCAGCGAAGCTCCCTCCAAAACTTCACAAAGTTTGCGAGGCAAACTATGTAGCGAAGGTCAGAAATCTTCACTGGTCACGACAGAATGGAAAGGGCCCTAAACTCACTAGGCGAGGGAGGCAGCGAAGTACTCGCTAGGCGAAGAAGCAGCGAGATTCCAGCGAGCACTCCCAGACTTTGGGCAGAGGCAAAAGGAGCATAAACTCGCTAGGCAAGGGATGTAGCGAAGAGCTCGTTAGGCGAAGCACCAGCGAGCAGGTAGCGAACACCTCCAGAATTTGGGCAGAGGCGAAAGAACTATAAATTCGCTAGGCGAGGTTCACAGTGAAGGCTTCGCCTAGCAAAGGATTACTCGCCTAGCGAGCATGTGCAAATTGTTTTATGGAGAGTCCTTAGAACACAGGCACTCCTGGTGGCACATTTTTGGATTCGCTAGGCGAACCACTTTACTCGCCTAGCGAGCATGACAACTCAGCAAGACTTCTATAAGTAGCATGGACTACTTTTTGTAAAAATATTTTTTTTTCTTGTTTTTGCATTAGAGGTGATTTTTCTGACCTAAAAAAAACCCATTCCTTCATTTCTCATCATCTCTTAACAATAATTTACAAAAATATGGTGGATTCCCATCCAATCTCGATTATTCGACTCGGATGTTGATCAACCTTCTCCCGAAACTTGTTGTTCAAGCTATCATGGAAATGAGTAGCTAAATCCCTCTCTTGTCAAGGTTAGAAGTAGTTAGTTCAGATTTTATGTATTCTTCTTAATCTCTTGTATGTGAACAAGTTGTTAATAAATATAGATGAAGTTATTTGCTACTTTTTGTATATTTATGGTTTGGTTTGTATTAGAGATAAACTTTCCAAATCTTGACCTAATATCTTCATCTATCAACTATACAAATGCTAGAGATAGGTTTGAAAAGTGATATCCGCTTTGTATCGTTCTTAATGCTTATTGTTTTGATCCGTCATTTAGAGAGATCATTTAACGGTCGAAACAATAACATTCACGAAAATGATTTAGAGATGAACGTTTTTGCGAGGATACGCGGTTATGTTGGTTAGAACTTTGTTCACATATTTGATTGGTTGGATACGTTTAGAATGGACTAGCAAACCCTAATCTTGACATGCTTTTATCAACCTTAAAGACCGACTTTTATTCCGCTTTATTTATTGCAAACTTTTGTTACAAACGTTGAAATCACTTAAAAAAACTCCTTACTCTTAAGTCACTAAACCGTTGAACGGCACACATCTCTATTCTCTTTAATCCCTGTGGATACGATAAAACACTACCGCAAATACTTTCTAACAAATACAACATTAACTACATCATCAATATATGACCTGATGTGATTAGGAAACTGAAGGATGAACTGCTTAGATGACTGTGAAGATTGTGATACTTTCAACTTCTTCGAAGCCTGTGATGGTTGAGATTTCTTTTGTGAAGACAGTGATAATTTCAACTTCTTCGAAGTTTGTGATGGTTGAGATTGCCTCTGTGAAGATTGAGATGCTTGATCAACATACTCATGATACGAAGGGTCTCTATAAACATCATACCCTACTGGTTTTATGTTTTTCTTCTTGACTCCCCCTTTAGTTTTTATTTTCTCAGGTGGTGGACACATAGAAGTCATTGTGGGGAAGGCAAGTTCAAAAACCCTACTTTTTAATGTCATTTTCTCAACAATATCGAGTGACTTAAACCTTTTCCATAACTCATCTATTGCACTACTCATATCCATCCCTGATCCATCATCTACGTCTTCGTCCAACTTAACTTCCATACTTAGTTTTCTCCAATGAACATGCACAACATCTATTGGTATCAATATACCATCAATTCTATATCCTGTCAACTCACAAGCACAAGGTAAGTCGTAGGTTGTTCTAAGAGTACACCGACATATTTCCTTGTTAGTTCCAACATAATCAACTCGTTTTAACTCTTTAGCAATGCGTCTCAATGCATCTCGAGACACCGAACTACGTAAATTATTGTAAAATGGACTTACGTGGGCGTGTTCAACGTCATAAAAACTCTTTTGAAAAGAAGCTCTAATATTGCTCAATTGTAACTTTAAGTTGTCATTCATAGCCTCCTAACATTTGACCATGTCATCAATACTGTTCCCCAACATTTGCTTTAACTTCCAAGGAGCAGACTCAACCCTAAAATTAATACATATTAAAAATATTTTTAAAAAATTCAAAAAAAAAATACAATTTAGAAATACTAAAAATAAATACATACCGATTAGTCGTGGTGTTACCCAAATGTAGCACTCGATTAATCCATGCTCCAACAAATCTTTGTCTATGTGGTGTCAATCATGTGTCCTTCACATAATCAATAAATTCATTACAATCAACACACACCTGCTCAAATTAGTTCAACCTTTGATCATACTCAACCTCATCACTAGCCCATACAACATCCGTCCATAATTCGTCAATTTTCTTTTGCATGTCACTAGCCATATATTGTTTCCATTTTGCACCAGCATTCTTGTTAATATGAAATCGTCATAGCAAATTGATCGACCTTGGAAACACAATTTCAATGGCTTTAATCAAAGCAAGATCTCTATCTGTCAAAATCACTTGTGGACACAACTCTTTCTTCACAAACAATTGTTTAAGCTTATCTAGCACCCAACAAAAAGTCTCAGTCTGCTCAGACTCAATATAGGCAAATGCGATAGCAAAAATCAACTCGGTTGATGTCATGTCAACAATTTCAAACAGAGGTTGCCTATATTTGTTTGTCTTGTAAGTGTTGTCCATAACTAACACAATAGGAAAAATATTCAACAACTTAACTGAATCTGAATGAGCCCAAAATATATCTCTAATAACTTCAGAGTCATCTCTTTTTCTACTCCAATAAACATAACCTGCATCCTCAATAAGCTTAAACAAATGTTGTATCTCACTTCTAGGACCTCTTATATTTTTTTCTATCATGCTCTTCTGCTTGTATATTTGCGTGATCCGAGTGGCATTATGTTGCTCTTGCTCTTGCAATGAAAGCAATATATGTCTAGGTGAAACCTTTCTCTTTGTCAAATCAACAATATGTTGCTTCTGATCCGCTGTCAACCTACCAACTAATGTGTGACCTTCTAATCTATCAGGTAAATCATGGTTATGAACTCCACATTTTACATCAATATTCCATCCAGATCCATTAGTCGCCGGAACTGATCTGATTCTAAATGGACATCCACATTTTTTCGTCACACTCTAGGTTCCACTATCAATATCTTTGTGTTTTCCTCCTTTATCACATCCAAATATTAATTTGTTACTTCTTCCTCTCTTGCCTATTTCAATATCTGAACGAGTGATGATAGCCGTTACTTTATTTCAGATTTCGATCTCTTTAATCCATCTTATCACCTCTTATCGTGTACCAAATCTTTGAGTAGTTGAAAAAACATCAGACGTATCTACGCATATTTGATCTTTATCGCATATTTGTAAAGGAATTTCTGTAACTGCATAAAAAAAATTATAAAAAATAAAATAAAATAAAAAAATAAAAAATGCAAACCGGAATACTCAGGAAAAGAGTTCCGATAGCCAACGTTACCAAACCGGAAGACTTGTAAAAAGTGTTCCGGTACACTTTTTACAAGTACCAGAACTCTTAAGAAAAATGTTCCGGTAAAATTCTACGAAAAACGCAAACCGAAAGTCTTTGATAAACTCTTCCAGTACATATTGTGTATAAACCGGAACTCTTTGCCAAAGTCTTCCGATTTGGAAAAAACAATATACCGGAAGTTATTTTAAAAGTGTTCCGGAAGACTCGATTCGTGAATTTCTCGAAACTCTAAAAATCTGACACAACACAGTAAAAAGTAAAAAAAAAAATACACAGGAGTAAAATTGGTATTTTTTTAAAATTGTAGGAGTATGAGATAAAATTTCCTTTCAATAGAGAATTCTGCAAATGAGGAACCCTAATTCAATTTGACCAAAAACTTAACATGAAACGGACAAAAAAGATGACATTTCAAGTTGAAAACAAAGAAGATGACATATCAAAGCAAACTCAATTGCCACACATACATAAATAAAACGTCGTTTGAGCTAAATGGACTAAAAAAACTTCTTTGACGCTATTTAAACAATTAAAAAATTAAGTTAATGTCTTTTAAAATTGAGGGATTAAAATGAACCACGAAATAAAATTAAAGAATGTATTTTGAAAAAAAAAAACACAATTTCTAAAAAAAACAATACTTAAAAAAATAAATAATAATGAAGTATATATATTACAGCAAAATTTAAATAACTACTCGAAGAAAAGAAGGATCGACACCAGAGAGAAGAAAAAAGGGTTTGAAAGTTCTTCAGTATTCTCAGAACTTACACGACCATGGCTGCTGAATCTCCTACTTCTGTTCGTAAAGGTTAGTTATTTTCCATCAATCACCCCAATTTTGATTTTCTCCTTTTCAAATTGATTTAGTTTCGCTCTTTTTTCACAGTGGTTGTTCATCTCAGAGCCACCGGTGATGCTCCGATTCTCAAACAATCCAAATTCAAGGTATTGTCTTTTGTGATAATGGGTGTTTTTTATTTCTTCAAAATTCTCATTAAAAAACGTTAATTTAATCCCCTTTATTAATGAATAACAGCATGCGATAATTTGGTGTTGTAGAATAATAGCAGAATTTGAAAAAATTCTCTATTGTTCTGTGATGCAATGTTTAGTTCAAAGTGTCGTCAAGTAGTGGCCATAGCAATGTGGAATTGTGGAATTTGTACAAAACTTCTATTTTCTGCAATTGAGAACATTGAACTCTAGTGGGTGTAGCTTTGAGTTCTACATGAGTTACCACCACATAAATTAGGGTTTAGAAACACATGCTAAATGTTGGAGGGTTAATGGTGTGAAATTCAATTTGGTTTAGGTGAATTAGCATCTGGCATAATTACGTCATCTTTTTAGTGAGGAGAATTGCAATTTGTTTAGGGGATTTTAAATTTTGGTTCTTGAGTTCTAGAGTCTGTCAATGGTATTTTCAAGGACTATAGGTGAAGATTGCTCAGTTAGGTAAAGTGGATTGAGATTGTTCGTTATATTTGGATTTTTTAAGTTTGATCGGTTTTTCATGTTTGCTTTTGCTAGGATTGGTTTGATGTAGGAAATCAGTCATGCCTTTGCTTATAGCTTAAAAAATAAAATGGAATCATGTTGATAAATTAAGCCTATGATACGCCCCTTGGTCAATGTTGTTGTACAAATTAAGCCTATGATACGTCTTGGTGTCGACGTGTTAGTGTTGGTGTCATGTTCGGTGTCATTGTATGTTTCCGTGCTTCATGGAGGATGGTAGAATCTCACATATGCAAAATGTGGGATTGGGGTGCATGAATAAAAATTCAAAGCTTTAAACTGAAGTCTGAAAGTCATTATATTGAGGGATGTCCACATAAATTTATTGAATGTTTGATAAGTATTCTTAAATCTTGAAGTGCTAAACCACTCTACACACATATTTGAAATGGCAGATAGCTGGAACCGATAAATTTGCCAAAGTGATAGAGTTTCTCCGCAGACAGCTCCACAGGGAGACATTGGTAAACAATCACTATATATTCTAATACCATCTGGTTCTTTAAAGGCTCTGCATCCTTAGTTTTTTGTTTTCTCGTTTTGCAGTTTGTATATGTCAACAGTGCTTTTTCACCAAACCCTGATGAACTGGTTGTTGATTTGTATAATGTAAGAAACTACTGGATTCCTTTTTCCATCGTTATTTAATATATATTTTTGTTGAATGTAAATGATGCATATCCCTGATTCTGGTTCTGCAGTTATGAATCACATTGTGATAATACTTCTTTTGATATTTGTTGCGGAAAAATGGTAGATTTAGGCCTTTTTGTGGCTATCTGTTTGTTTTGTAAAATTTATTTAGTACATTTAGAAGCTACCTTAACCTTTGTTTGTGGCTATCTTGTTTTTGTAAAATATAGATAATAGACATTTTTAGCTCCCATAAGGCATTTTCAAGTTTCAACATCAAAAAGTGAAAAAAGTAAAAAAATCCAATGTCCATTACTTCTCCCTTCCATTTTCTGATTTTGATTTCAAGCTATTCCTTGACCTAGACATACTTGATGAAGAAATAGGCAAGGTGACTTTCAGATTACATTCTGCAAATTATTTTGGTACTCCGCAGTACCCAAGTCCCTATCATAGCTCCGCCCCTAAGATACGGCAGCTGCACTCTACGATGCTTTGGCCTTTCCCGCCGGCGGCCCCTATGTAGGTAGCCATTTCCGCGCTACTGACAACCAGCTCTTGTACCAATTGATAAATATCCAAATACTTGGGTAACTTTCCCTTAAAAGTTAGCTATCAAAGAGGGAGAGCCAAGCCACATCAATGCCCACCTAGTGTGGGACTTGGACACCCTATAATACCTAAATCCCTATCATAATGATAGAATCTAATTAACTGAAAGCGCATGTAATCACAACACTTTAAGAAATTTTACTCGAGATAGAATCTATTATTTCAGATCACTTGTAGTGGAGGTCATAAAACTCTTCATGTAAACTAGTCTTGCAAGTTGGAAAGAAATCTAAATTTCAGAAACAGTAATAGAACCGAAGCATAGTTTTCCTTGCTGTTCAACTAGTTTTAGAGCTGGTACTTCATTATAGCTTGCTGGTTTTTGTAAGCCACGAATCATGTTTGCCAAGCCATCCCATAAATTACATATATGAACTAGCTTGTGGTATAAGGGTGACATTGTCAGCTATAATGGTCACAGAATTATTAAGTATCTGGTTTCAAGTAATATAGTTAGAATATTAGAAAATACCTTATAATATTTTTATATTATGTTTGAGTATCTTAGTTTATCTCATAGAATTAGTTTCTAATATTAGAGTATCTTCAATTATCTCTTAAGATTAAGAGTCTTGTATTTTGATGAATATGATTTAATATTTAGTCTTTTATATCAAGTTACTAATACTATCAATAATATTACCGCATTATCATATTCAAAGTCTTTATTATATCTCTTCCCCTTATTTTATCCACAAAACATAACTTCATAGGAAATGCTTATGCTAATTTATCATTTCCGGTAGATGGTAGAATGTTATTATATCTTAATATGCTTAGTACAAAACTCTATTTTTTTCAAATCATTGCCAGCAAAAACTTTCCATTTTCTTAATCCAAACGCTCTCTTAAGCACATTCGTGATCCTAATTTCTTGTTTTATATCCTTTAGACAGCCTAACTATGCTGTTTATTTATCACATGCCATTATGCTATTTCTTTTCTCTTACGGGCCACCCTGATTTTTCAGAATTTTGGTTTTGATGGAAAACTGGTTGTCAACTACGCATGTTCTATGGCATGGGGCTAACACTAAATAGAGGTTGCTGATTGATGTTGATAAACTCGCTCTACACATTTCAAATTGTGAATACATCAAACTCAAGACTTCAAATGCATACAATCAAACTACACTATTTCTTGTGAACTTGAAGGTTCCGCCGACAAGGTAGAAATGGAACAAAAACTAACACGGTAGTCTTCATAATTTTACCGGTTTGAAATACCTTTTATTTTAGAATTGTATTTACATATTGGAATCACCCTTTTAATTTTATTCATTCATGTCAATATAGTTATGTTATGGATGATGATAGTGTAGAGACACATGCTTGTTGAAGTGATAATCATTTACCTATCCATCTTGATCTTGAAGGTAAACCATGAAGTCAACCGTAGTTTAATAATTTAATATTACAATTTCAAACAAGTGTCATTCGCAATACCTTTGCAATTTGTCTGCATGCACGAATGAATGAACAATGGTCACTGAAAAGCATGTGATTCATTGATTGAATTCACTGCGAAGCGCGTGAAGGAAGCAACTCACACTGGGCCGAATTGAAGTAACTCAGTCACGTCACGGCTTGTTTGGTTTGATATTCAAAGTCTGCTATCTGCATGGGCTTCAATGCAATGCTGCAGCAGACAGATGTGTGAATGAATAACATCAAACATAAAAACAAACGTTAACGCCGTTGCGGAGTTTTCTAGGTTTCCCTCGCAAAACTTCCCTCCTAATGAAATCAATATTAGTGTTTGTATCCATGTTGCAGAGTTTTAGTCCAACCATAATGTTGCTTATATGAATCCAAAAGATGGACTAAAATTAGGGAAATGTAGAAGTTAAGTTGTTTGTTGGTAAACTAGTTGCAGTGTTTCACAGTGGATCTGGACCAATTGCCATCACTGCACTGACCAGTGACCTCTAAGCATCCATGCATTGCATTTGCAAGTGGTAGCCAGTTCGACCAATTGGTTCCATTCGGTCCAATTGAAACCAATCACACATTTATTTGGGTCAAATTATTTGTCCAATTCTTCAGTGAAAGATAAGTCTTATAGAAAGGAATAAATATATATTAATTTTTTTGCATGCAAACGTTATTATTACACCTCATAAACCATCACGCCTTCAAATTCAAACATTTTGTTTTATTTTTTATATTAAAAATTATTTGATTTTATAGCTGAAGTAAACCGCCTTAAGAAGTAAGATATGAATTATTGGAATCAAAAGCAACAGTTGTCAAGATATTTTGAGTTTGAGAGTTTTAACATCTAACTAGATAGGAATATTGTCAAATAAATTGAAACCGAACTTTTTGAAAAAAATAATAATTAGAATGCATTAATTATATTGAAATTTTTAATAAAGAAAACTCATTGAAAAAAAAAAAGAATGAGACATCAAATTTATAGTAAAAATGATAGTTGGACATGTTCAACTTATTTTTCAAAAAAAAGTTAAAAAAATACAAATAAGAAGTGAGTTTCATAAAGTGAATATATTGATTATAAAATATAACTAATATATTATTTTGATTAAAATTTTAATCTGGAGAGACCTTAATCTTCAAATGATTTTGATAGTGAAGACATGAATCTACTAATGTCATGAGATATTGTAATTCTCCGCATCAAAGAAATTGTAGGGGATACTTACTACTTAGCTACATTTTTTTGTCAATTTTATTCTTGTTATCTTATTTGAAATAAATTAAACAAATTAATTTAACTAAACACTACATATTCAATCTATTATTTTATTCGCTATCAATTATTCATTATTTTTTGGTTAAACAGAATCTTAATGTATTTAAGTTTTAAATAAGAAGAAATTAATTCTAATCTCACTAGTAATTGTTTGACTCATTATTGGCTAAGTTTTTTTTGTCTAACCAATATAAAATGGGGATAGAAGATGTTTCAGTTTGGACTTCCTTTGTCTCCTAAGAACCGGGCCTTGTTGGGCCTTGATGTCCATGGCTTTTATTAAAAAAATAATAATAAAGCATTTAAAAAGTGAATTTAAAATAAAATATAATCATAAAATGAAGTAATTATCATCAAGTTTTTTTTATTAAAATTATTTCAATTTACATTGAATATTATTTCATTTTTCAATGTATAAATAATTATTATTTTCCAATAGTACTATTAACATAATATTTAATCCGTGAAGAATGAAGATTATATAGAGTAAATAACGGAAATTTAAAAAGTTAGTTGAAGCATAAAATTTATTAATTATTTGTATAAATTTATAAAATTATTTTTTTGAAATAAATTTTTAATATTTGTTAAGAATATTAAAAAAACGTATTAAGAATAAATAAATAAATAAACTATTAATAGACTTTGAAAAGAGATTTTTATAAAAGAAAATAAAAATACTAAAAAAATCCTATATTTAAAAATAGAGATAATGTTATGTATATTAAATTTAAAGTATTATATATTACTTTATGTTTATGACCTTGAAAAGAGAATACATCAATAGTTATTAAAATTAGTTTATTAAAAACTATATATATTTTTAGCAATTTTAAGCTTTTTCTTAATACTCATTCAAAATTGTTAAGCAAAATACAATTTCTAGTATTATAGTGTAACTAATGTAGTTATTTCCAATTACCCTTAAATTAAATTTTGATATATTCATGACAGTAATGTGTTTTCATGTGCAACTTTCAAGATAATGGCAAAATAAATTTTTTTATTTATTAGTTAAATATCATCAATCAACTTTATTAATGAATATACATTTTTTCTCTCTCTCTCTCTCTCTGTCTCTCTTAAATACTAGGAAGTTTATATGTATAAACATTAAACTATATTTATTTAAAAAGAGTACCATAGTATTTATTTATTTAATAGTATTTTAGATGGAGAACAATTTTAATAATTATCTGATATCATAAAAATTATCCACTACTCCCCAAACCACACTATCTGACAAGTTCATTGAACCCTCACCATTGATGAAATCACATTACAACCAAAACCAAATCCAACACTTCAGAAAACAGTACAACATAACATCAACCTCTACTAAATCAAAACCTTAAAGATTTTGTCATGTTCTCTCTCTCATAAAAATGCAAAACTTAAAATAGATTATTTTGATATTAGACTGGTACTACATGCCGTGGCCACTTCTGCAGAAATCTGAGAAAGAAATGAAAGAGCTGGCACAAAACCCAACACTCTCATTTCCTCACAATATAACACGACACAACATCACTATAAACATCCTCAAAAATATAATTATATATATATATATCTATTCATTATTCACACTCATTTCACAATCCTAGCCTACAACAAACCCACGATATATCAAACTCATATGATTATTATGACTCTGATATTTTTACATTTTCAAAACCAAACCATTCTTAGCTTTCATCTTTGAGCTCAAACTCCAACGTTACAAACACAAACCTCTACATTTTTTTCTTCTGTTTCTTAATATGAGTAACTGGTTAGGATTTTCTCTTACTCCACACTTTGGTCAAGAATTTGCTACAGAAAACCAAAACCAAAACCATGGAGAAGGTTCAGAAACTGGAAGAAACTATGTCCCTTCTTCTCCTCATCCTCATCCTCATCAACACCTTTCTGTTATGCCTCTACGATCTGATGGTTCACTTTGTGTTTCTGATTCCTTTACACCTCAAGGTATATTATGTATATATATATTTATTTATATCATTGCATGTTCTAATAACTTTTTTTTGTTCTTATTCATTACTTCTCAAAAGGGTCTTTTTTATTTTCCTCAAAACAATTTGCATGTTCATAAAAATTGTTTCTTTTTTTTTTTATACTACTTTGAAAATAAGCACTTTTTTTTTTAAAAGTTTGTATATGAATTTTTTGATGACAGAATGGAGATATGAGAATGGAATAACTGGTGGAAATTCAAATGAAGATGGACCAAAACTTGAAGATTTTTTGGGATGTTACTCAAACCAAAACCAGAATAGTACTAATATTTCCAAAATCAATGTTAATGTTTCACCAAGTTTTTGCACCAACAATAACACAGAGATTGAAACAGTAGAGAATCATACTCATAATCATCATACTCATAATCATCATAATCATAATCCTCATAATCACAATCATCTATCAAACCAATCTTTGATTCACTCTTTCCATCATGCATATACCGATAACAACAACAATCATCATGCTTTAATCAACAATAGTACTATGTACAAGTCATGGATGACTCAGTCTCAGTTTTCTGAGGGGAAAAGTTCCAATGATGGAAATTGTAGCTTTCAATCTCTTAACTTAACTATGAGTCCAAGTGTTTCAAATGGTGTTAGTGTTGGTGTTGGTGTTGGTGTTGGTGGTGCAATTTCTAATGTTCAGATGAATGAAGATCCTAGGAAAAGGTCTTTGTCAAAATCTGGTTCTGCTAGAGAACCTGTCCCTCGCAAATCTATTGATACTTTTGGACAAAGAACTTCTCAATACCGTGGTGTTACAAGGTACTATTTTTCATTGTTTTTTTCTTAAATGTTAATTTTTGTTGAATTTTATGTTTTTTTTATTTTACATTTTTGGGTTTGATGGATTTGTTTAGGCATAGATGGACTGGGAGATATGAGGCACATTTGTGGGATAATAGTTGCAGAAAAGAAGGACAAACAAGGAAAGGAAGACAAGGTGAAACAAACATATATGTTTTTTTGATTATTTTAATGTTTTTTTGGTTTATGTTTCATTGACTAAGGTTTTGTTGGATTCTTCTCTTTTCATGGCTTCTTCAAATCTTTCACAGTTTACCTTGGTAAGATTTTCACAACTCTCTCATTAATTCTTTACCAAGATTTAATTAGATTCATTACTCAATATAAATCTTTGGAAGGTGTGTTTGGTTTTTCTCAAAATAATTTATGACTTTTGGCAACTAATAACAACTTATTTTTCCATTATTGTTAGGTGGTTATGATAAGGAAGAAAAAGCAGCAAAAGCTTATGATTTAGCTGCACTCAAGTATTGGGGTCCAACAACTCACATAAATTTCCCTGTAAGGCTTCTGAATCTTGCACAGTTTACTCCTTTGGAAAAAAGCACTTAAGCAAATTCACTAGAAGGAACAAAAAAATTAAAATATTTAGAAAAAAGTCTAATGTTTCTTATATGTATTTAATGTATGCAGTTTGAACTTTGAAACATTACATTGTTAGTAACTGTGATGACTCTATGTATCTACTACTTTCTTAAATGCTCAGTTAAGCACTTATGAAAAGGAACTTGAAGAAATGAAGAACATGACTAGACAAGAATTTGTGGCCAATTTAAGAAGGTAACATTAAATTTTTTCCATTATTTTTTTTCTTTTCACCAATTTTATTGATTATAGAGTGAATTGTCCTTTTTTGCTTTACATGGATAGGAAGAGCAGTGGATTCTCAAGAGGTGCTTCTGTGTATAGAGGTGTGACAAGGTATGGCCTAAAGTGATTTTCTTGCTGTAATTTCAGCTTTTTTTTAATCAATTATTGAGTAGTGTTTATCTTTTTCTTCTTGTCTCAATTTTTCAGACACCATCAACATGGAAGATGGCAGGCTCGAATCGGAAGGGTTGCGGGAAACAAAGACTTGTATCTTGGTACATTTAGTAAGTTCTCCACCCTCCCTCGCTATTTTGAACCCGTTTGTTTCGACTTTTTAAAATCGTAATACGAAAATTTCTGGATCCGCCATTGAATAGGCACACAAGAGGAGGCTGCAGAAGCATATGATATTGCAGCAATCAAGTTTAGAGGAACAAGTGCTGTGACCAACTTTGACATCAGTAGGTATGATGTCAAGAGAATTTGCTCAAGCTCAACTCTAATCGCGGGAGATCTCGCGAAACGGTCACCTAAGGAATCCGCGCCTCCTGCTGCAACCACTGTCGAGGACTTCAATTCGTGCGGGAGTACATCGACACATTCTCAGCCGCCTCCTCTAGCTATTACCGACCGCGAACAGCAGCATTCTGATGAATTGTCCAACATGGTGTGGAATTCAAACAAGGATGAACAACCACCGCAGAACGAGTGCGGAAACAACACTAACGTTGTCGTCGCTGAATCGTCGCAGCTCGGTGACGGTTCGCCAAGCAACAAGAATGAGATGAACAAATTACCTAATGAGTTTGGAGGGAGTGGAGCAGATTATGGACATGGTTACTTCACACTGCAAGGACCAAAGTTTGATGATGGAAACAATGAAAATAGGCTTGGGAATTTGGGTTTGGTTAATCAAGTTCCTATGTTTGCTTTGTGGAATGAATGAATAATGAATGTAATGTTTGAGTTTGACATGAAAAAAAAACATTAGCTTAGGAAACTAAGGTCAAGTGTCAGAATTATTATTATTGAATGATTATTGTTGTTTAGTATTTTGTAACTTGTTTTTCTTTTGGAGGAAAAGGATGTGTCAGAAAAGTTGATTCCTTATGTGCTCAGTTGGTAGGGTATATATACTTATCCAAATCCAATATCAGTCTAGGTCACCTGATTAAGTGTGAATTGCCTAAATCAGTTTATCAGTGTATAGATGCATATCAGTCTAGGTCACTTGATCAAATGTGAGGTGATAAATTTGAATCGATTGATCTTGACTATCGATCAGATAAAATCGTCTGATTTTAACTATCGATCAGATAAATTTGAATCATCTAATCTTAACTATCGATCTAGTTGTGGGTGACAAATCTCGACAGAAATGAAAATTGTGTTGAGTAAAACTAAATATGGACTATAAAATGATAATTACTACATCCTTGATATTCATCTAAAATTATCATTTGACAAGATGTCATGACTCAAGAGTACTTTTTCTTTGACTATAAAGATATTTTCATGCATGAATCTTTATAGAAAATTGGTTCAGTTTGTCATGCAAGAAAAAAGAGGGTAATAAATTAATGGAATGTGATGGGGGAAATAAAACAGTGACATATATGTCTTTTGGCATCAAGACAAACTAGAATCACAATGATGAGAGATTTCTCAACTTAGCATTATAACGTTACTTTCATCTTCTTAAGCAATTCTTTAAAACACATAAGAGACAATTAAGAGTAGATAATTTAGTATTTTGTCTTAAGTACTTTATATATAATTGATAAGACTCATAAATTATACTTAAATTTTAACACTCGGTCTTGCGTTAGAAGTAAGACCATTAAGACCATTAATCGCAAGCATCAACAGAATGCACTCAATTCTATGTTTTACATGTCAAGATTGTGTTGATAATGTTTATTTCAATGCAAAACTACTAATCTAATGACATGGAAAATCTCTCTATTGTTGTTGAATATTGTTACCACGTAAAAATCTCTCTCTGTTGTACATACCAAAACCTTATATCATGTTGACTTGTCTCATATTAAGACTTCAACTCTAAAAGTCAATATTTACGTATTTTTAAAACTTTTCATTGATGATTTGAAAATGTCGTAGATTAGAGAATATATATATATATATATATATATATATATATATATATATATATATATATATATATATATATATATATATATATATATATATATATATATATATATATATATATATATATATATATATATATATATATATATATATATATATATATATATATATATATATATATATATATATATATATATATATATATATATATATATATATATATGATATTGTTCATAAATAAATTTTTATAATGAGAATTGTTTTGATGTGAATTATTAACGACTTTTTTGTGTATGACATATTGTTTGGTTGTGGTAATCATGCTTTTATTTGTATATATATCATCTAATTTATTTTTAAAATAGTTAAATTTTTTTAATATATTAAATATTAAAATTTAGTTCAAATAATTTTAAAATAAAACTATAATTTATTAAATAATTTAATTAATTAATAACATAATTAATTTCAAAAGGTTTTACCCCACACAATAGAGTGATAATTACCAATCCTTTCAACTATATATATGTGTTAGTTGATTGAGTCAACTCAACATTTCACACAGATATAGTGAATCTATATTGGGATAAACACATCATATAAAATACAAAATAAGATTTCTCTTACCATGGATCTTTATGAAGGATCATGAGTTAGGAATTAGTTGATTATCTCTTCTAGTGTAGTATCTTTGGTCGCTAAAATATATTGATCAATAAAACAATATGAATGACATTTCCTCTATTCAGTTCACATGAACTAAATCTTTTGCCTATAAAGCTAGCTTTGAACGAACAAAAGGTTTAGAGAGAACCCGAACTCAAAGTCCTAATGTGGCTAGGGTTTTGAGATTACATGAAAGTGACTGACTATTACTTTTGTATAAAAGTTCTATTTATAGAATCATTCATATGCATTGCAACTTATAATATTTTGTATTTCTCTAATTAGTGTTGGTGCATCGTAAGAATGTCTCGCCAAATCATAAATGAATCATATTGATGTATTTAATCTCTCATTTATATGTTCTTATGTGTGTGATCTCGTAGGTTCTCATAATATTTATAAAAAAATTAAATCACTTATTAATATTATAAACAGATGTCTAACAACATATCTTAGATACCCAAGTGACGAGAATATAATGTAATATAACATAATCTTAATGATAATAATAATGTGTAAATTGTCGTTATATATATATATATATATATATATATATATATATATATATATATATATATATATATATATATATATATATATATATATATATATATATATATATATATATATATATATATATATATATATATATATATATATATATATATATATATATATATATATATATATATATATATATATATATATATATATATATATATATATATATATATATTTATTTTGTGTCATCCTTGTATAGTCCAATATTATACTCTTTGATACTCGAATATACTTGCTAAGGAAAATTATGCTCAATATCTCATGTTGACTTATTTTCAGCATTGCCATACAATTTACAGTCATATTTGATCAAAGGGCCGGTAGATTACTCATGAATATTTAGGAGGGACAAATTCCATCTAAAACACATATGTCTCTTTACATGACTTGTTAACTACCCAATCAACCAACTTGATAATTGTTTTGTTACAAACAACGCTTGACGAAATAAAAGTGATCAATCTAGTAGTATTTTTAAAGTGAGTCAATCCCATATAAATACTACTATATCATTTATACTTATGTGAAGACTTTATTTTCCACTCGTAGACAAATGTGATCCAGTTCAAACAGAGCAGTTTTCACCCATTTTACGTGATATTTTCTCTCTTTAAATACTCATGGATATTCTTCAGAACTTTATGCCAAACTAAGATGATTTCCTCAGGTGGCATCAGAATTATAAGAACTCGGATTCTACCGTTTCGGTAGCATACAATGGTAATTCATCTATTTGTCTCTTTAAATCATCTTTTCTTGGACCTCGGGTCCTTGAGTATGGTGCGTCTTATCATGTTACAGGTAAAAAAGTATTTTCTCTTTCCTCTCTACCTCTAGTTTCATACCTACTATAACTTCAGTCAATTATTCTCAAACTCGATCCGAAGGGATTGATACTATTCTAATTCTACATTCTCTTTCAGTTACTTATGTCCTCTATGTACCAAATTGAAGGTGTGAAAAACACAAGAAATAGAATTTTTGTATTGGGTTTTAAAAAAAAGTTTTTACCAACTCAAAAACTCAATAATCAAAAGATTGAACAATGAGAGAGACACAAGGATTTTTATCCTAGTTCGCTTGAAACTCAAAGCTAATCCAGTCCATATGCCAAGGTGATTTCGCCTTATACATAAGGACTTAATCCACTATAATATATTGATTACGAATGCACTAGCTACAACTGGTGGCTAACAAACCATAAAGACAAACAATCAATGTCTTCTCAAGGATACTGACCTAACCGGTCCTTCAAAGAACTACAGATAAACAATTTGAATATAAAGATGTGTGTTTACAAAGTGCTTATTAAACATGCAGATTTACACAAGTGAAATATAAAAAATACTTAAGAAAAAGTTTGCACAAAGTTGAAGGTTTTTCACGTAGAAAACACTCTTGTTATTCGGCAGCTTTCTAGCATGAAAAAAGAACCGTTGGGGGGCAAATCAAGAATAAGAAAAATGTAGTTGTCCACTAACGGAATAGTGACAGGTGTGACAAATAGTACTGTCCTTTCGCCCACAAAATCAGGTAGTGGAGGAACAATTTTGTTTTGTACCGTGTACTATTTTGATCATGTATCCTTTATCCTTATCTTCAAATTCATTGGCTTCTGATGAAAAGTTGATGAAGCATGAACAGAAGAATCACATAGCTTGAAATAGAATCTTCAAAATTATTAATCAGAATCTTGATAACATCAGCGTCTGACTTGAGATTTTCAACTAGAAATTTCAGAAGCTTGCCTTTCTTTAGAAGTTTGATGAACAGAGTTACATCCAGAAGCAAAAACCAAGAGAACATTGCAGCAGCAACATGACGTCTTCTCGGAAGCTGCTTAGAAGTGAATTAGTGCAGAAGCACATTTTGAAACACGATTTTTCAGAAAGTGATGGCGTTGCACGTCACTAAGTCAGAATCAAAGCTGACTGTTAAAGCTACATAATAATAAAGTATTAGAGTACCAAAATTGTTCTCACACAAATACTACCTTGTTATCATCAAAATTCAAAGGTATATGCAGAACCAAATCTTGTTATAACAATCTCCCTCTTTTTGATAATGACAAAGTATTTTGACGAACAACTTGTACAGGGTAATCATAAAAAGTCATATCAGCAAGAAGCACAAAGCCCCCCTGAGATGAACAGTCCCAAGAAGATAAAATCAGAATGAAAGAGCACTTTCATAATTAGCCTTTTTGCAGAGCTATAATGATCTTTGGTCAGAATCTGGTTTTCTTCAGAAGTTACTGGAACTATTTCAGAATCCTAGTTATCTGAGACAGTATTTCAGAAGTCTGGTTTGAAAAACATAGCCCGATTTATGATAAAAAAAAATCCAGATCCTGGTTAAAGCTAGTTAAAGTTTTTACAAGTTTAATGCCTTGTTGGAAGTCTTTCTTAGACTGACTTCTTAGAAACCATAGGTGTCTTACGATCTGCTCTGAAAACTTCAGTATCTTCTAGTATTTAATTCTTTCCTTGAAACAACTAACATACTATTTTCAAGTAATTGCTATCAGAAACATTTTAGAATGTTTGGGTTCTGGTTCATGAATATAGATTTATCAAAATCATTACATATCTTCCCCTTTTTGTCAAT